CATCCTCTCTGCGCGCCTGACGCTGCCCTGTAACCCGACTCCAGCGCGGCCATCGCGAGCGCCCCTGAGCACGGGAGCCCAGTGCCACATCACCGCGCCCACCATGCTGCCGCTGCTGCTGCCGCTCGCCCTGCTAGTCGCACTGGCTGCCACTGGTAAGGTCCGCTGTCCCTTCCTGGGCAGAGCGAACCCCACCGGGAGCTCTGTCCCCTTGAGCGCGGGTCTGACCACGCCAGGCGGACAGTTCCCAGAGTGCACCCAGGACCCCGGAGGGACCTCCGCCCAGCAGAGACCTGGGGGCGCCAGAGAGCTGGGGCTGGGGGCGGCCTGAGGGCAGTGCGGGTCCCCAGCTGTGTGGGCACAGAGGTGGGCGCAGCAGCCTGCAGGCCGCCCCCCAACAGGTGCCAGGGCTGTGCGGGGCAGGACAGGGCAGGGCCTGGAACCACAGGCCCTGGCAGGGATGTGACCACTGTGTCGGGCAGTGGCGCTGAGGGCAGAGAATGTGCTGGGTCTGGGTGGGAAACCTGAGGGACCAGGACCACATGGCCTTGGCTGACAAGGTCCCCGTAGCTGGGGCCTGAGTGCTGGCCACGTGCCCGCCGGGAGTTGGCCGCAATGTCCCTGCATGTGGAGCCCTTATCAGCCGTGGATGCTTGTGCTCCTGAAGGGCTGGGTCCCCAGGGCTGGGTTCGGGGGGTCAGGTTGGTGACACCTAAACGGCTGGTGCATGCTGGGAGCGAGGAGCCCTGTGAGGCCAGCACCCTCCCTCCTGCCCCTCAGCCCCCCCCCCGCGTGTGTGTGGGAGTGGACGGCGCCGTCCTGACCGCCTGCCCTGCACCCCTGAGCTCCCGGAATGTGTCCAGACCCACAGGCTAACGGGGACCCAGCCTCCTCCAGGAAGCCCACCTAGACCCTCCCAGCCCGGCCGCCGGTGGGCTCCTTCCTCCTGCAGCCCCTCCATGGCACCAGCGAGTTCTGCCACAGAGCCTGCTCGGGTGTTTGTCTCCCTCCTTGCAGATGAGCCTGGAGGTCAAGTACACTGTGAGGGCCAGGACTCTGATCTGCTGGGACCCTGGTCTCCTCTCCCAGGGCCTGGCTCTGGGTTCAAATCCGAGGCTTGACTCTACTGTTCGACCTTGAGATGACCTCCCTCTCCTCTGATGGAGGAGCCCTGTCCAGGAGGAGCAGCCTACTGCACCTTGAAGTGGGGAGAGGGACCCAGGCACCCTCCTTCTGGGATTAAGAGGTGCTGCCACCTCGTGGCCAAGGGGCATCACCGCTGACTCTCCAGCCATCCACGAAAATGGGTTGCTATCCACACTTGCTGTTTTCCACATTCTGGTAGCCACATGAGACATATACTAGGAGTCAGGTGAAATTCATTTTAATAGCAAAATTGTAACCCAATGCACCCGAAGTATCATTCCGATATTTGTAGTTAATGTGCAGCTCTTAGCGAGATGTTTTTCTTCTGTCGGTTGCGTATTCTTACACATGCAGTGCGTATTGGCTTCACCTTGCTGAGTTTCAAGCCCTGAACAGCATGTGTGGCTCATGGCTGGCAGTGGCTAGTGGCTTTGGGCCCTGCAGGGTCCCAGCCCCCACCCCTTCTGTTCCCAGGCTGCAGTGTTGGGGTCCAGGGCAGCTCCGTGGGTGCCGGCTGGTGACAGCAGTGGTGGGATCAGCCGTCCATGGCATCCCTGACCTTGGCGTCCTGGGGCTGCCAGGGCAGGTCCCCCACTTGCTTTGTGGACAGAAAAGTGGCCCAGAGAGACCAAGCCAGGGGCTCTGTGGCCAGGTGAGTTAGTGCCACGCTGGGCCCTGGGCAGCCATGCAGGCTCCACTGTGCTGTGCGCGGCATCTGGGCCGCTGCCGGGGACAGGAGGGTCGCGTTCCAGTGAGAGACGCCTGTGCATGTGCCCTCACTTAGACAAAGGTCCCAGCCAAGATGAGAGCAGGGTGGATCCCGCTGAGCCCTAAACCCAGCGACCGGGGTCCCCGGAAGGACAAGTGCGGGCAGGGAAGGCCCCACCCTCACCCCGCGCGACCTGGAGGGAGGCAGGGCCACACCAGCTTGGGGAGCCGAGGCCCCTCCTCAGAGCAGGGGCTGTGCCATCGTCACCTGCCCATCTGTCTTCTGCACAGAGGACACCGGAAGCAGGTGGCAGTCACGTTGGCCCCAGATGGAGCATGTCGGTCACCATGTGGCACCAGGCACTGCCCACATGTGACCCAAATGGGTCCTCGGCAGCCTCACAAGAGCACTCTTGCTTGTCTCAGTGTGTAATGGGGAAACTGAGGCATGCAGCAGGACTTAGTCCCCCGAGCTCTGCTTCCTCATCTGTAAACCTGTGGGAAGCTGTGTGAAACCAGGTGCTCCGACCTCTGCATGGCCCTCCAGGTGGCGCTTGGTGGTTTTGGATGCAGGTGTAGGACAGACACCTGCTTGGCTCCTGGTGGCCTCACCTCAGGTTTCCCTGGGGCAGAAGCAGCCCAGGGCTGGTTTGAGGCGGCTCTTCCACTCGCTGAGCTGTCCAGTGTGTGCTGTGTCTCTGCTTGCACACAGCCACCTGGGCCAGGTGTGTGGCCTGTGACAGTTGCAGCCAAGGGATAGGGCACAGCACCTTCCCAAGATCCGCCCTCATCCAAGTTCAGCCCGGGACCAGCAGTGGATGGCTGGTCATGGGCCCTGGTGTGAGCCAGCTTCGGACTGCAGCCTCAGACACTACGCGTGGACATCGCGCTGGTCCATGGGGCGGGGCCTCTCATCTGCTGGGCCCTCACTGCAGCTGCCCAGCGCTGCCCTGACAGAAGCTTAGCAGGCCGCATAGCTAACGAGGGTCAGGCTTGGCCCTCCACTGGTCCATGCAGCTGGCTTTGGGGGCCCTGAAACCCCACTGTTGCAAAGACAGCTTCGTGAGTGGCGTTCTGCTCGGGGGAAGGGGTCCCAGATCCTCACCCCTGCAGTGTCCCGGCAGTCGGCCACGCCTGCTGGCCCTCCCTCGGAGGTCAGAGCCGGCAGTGCTCAGTGGTCAGCGCCGGCTCCATGGAAACTCAGTGCTCCGAGGCCAGCGCTGGGGCTTCCCCGGAGATTGGTGGGCTGTCCAGGCCAGATGACGCCCTCAGACCCACTCTGCCCACAGGTGCCCTCCTAGGCCAGTCACAGGACCTCTCAGATTGTCCTCACCTAGAAGTGGGGGTGCCTGGCACCTCCACCCACAGGCTGAGGTGGGGGCAGGGTGAGCCATGGCCGTGGAGGGCAAGGTGACGCGGCGCTCTGTCCAGGTGTGCCCTAACGCAGCGCCCTCTCTTTCCAGGTGACTGTCAAGGCCCGGTGGCTGCCGACATCGGTGTGTACCTCGGCTCCCCCTTGGGTTTGTAGCTGTGCCGCAGCCTCCAGGGCAGAGCTGAGCCCGTGGCTCTGAGTGGGAGACAGAGCAGGGCCCGCACCTCAGCTCTGAGCCCTGACCCTGGAGCTTGAGAGAGAGTTGGCCAGATGCAGGAAAGATGGCACTGGTCCACGCTGGCCACAGAGCGCCTAGAGGGGCCCTGTCCTCCCTCTGCCTGCCATGCAGCCTAATCCTCCCTGGTCCACTCTGGGGCTAAGCAGCACCCTGATGCCTCTTGTCCTGATTCATTCTTTCTGGGGTGGGGCACTGGTGCGGGCTGGGCTGTGTCCCTGCTGACCTAGACTCTGTCCCTGCCCAGTGCTCCGTTTCTTGGGCTCCAGCTCTGCTAGGCCTCTGCTGAGCCTGTGGATTTGGGCGGGTGTCACCCCTGGGTCCCAACTTCCTCCGTGAGATGAGGAAAGGCTGCAGATCTCAAGGGATGATTTGAAGCTTATGTGTCCCAAATACTCAGGAGAGGGCCCGGTTGAGTCCAGTGCTCCGAGACAGCAGAGGTTTCCCCTGCCAGACTGGGCGTTTGATATTTTCTACCTGGAGGAACCAAAAGACCTTCAACAAACCAGCAGGGCTGTCTCAATGCAAAAGTCAGTGCCGTAGCCCAGCATTCTGAGCAGAGAGGCTGAGCAGAAACAGCTCTGTCCTTGCTAAGGTTTGACACGAAAAAGTGGCCGAATCTCAGCCCGCATGCCACATGCCACACCTGGGATGTCTGGTGGGGAGGAGAAGGAGAGGGGGCATGAGTGGGGAGCTGGGGTGAGGGAAGGACAGCTGCTGTAATGATTCGCACAGAAGTGTCTGGCAGCAGAGGACCCTGCCCGCCTCTGCCTGTGCTTGCAATGTCCTTGTGACACCCAGCTGTCCTTGCCCAGCCCCTCACGAAGGCCCTGAGCCCAGACTGGCCACCGAGGGCCAGCCCTTTCCTGGAGGACATGGGCTAGGCCATGCAGGGTGTGTCTGTGGGGACGCTCTGCTTCGGGATCTGCACAGTCAGCTCCCTGTTTCTGATGTCACCGTGGAGGAGGAAGTTTATTCTCGCTCAGGGTTTCAGAGCTTCAGTCCATGCTTTAGGCCTGAGACCAGGCAGGAGGATCGTGGCAGAAGTGGCAGAGGAGGATAGTGCTCACAGCATGGCAGGCACAAAGCAGAGAGAGAGGGAGGAGCCAGAGAGGAAGGGTTGGGCAAGCTACAGCCTCAAGGTCATGGCCATGACCTGCTCCCCTCAGTTAGGCCCACTTCCTGTTCCCGTCGCCTGCCAATGACATCATCAGATATGGTCCATGGATGAATTAGCTGGTGAAGTTAGAGTCCCCGTGATCCCGTGACCTTCTGAGAACCCCGGCTCTGAGCACCAGAAGTTTGGAGGACATTTGGGGGAACTCTAATGCAAAAGCATTCTCAGGCTCCCTTGGGCCCCAGTCCTCGCCCCAGGGATTGTGGGTACCCTGATCTTCGCAGGCCCTGGCCCAGAGGGGGTGCACTCGGGTGTGGGCCATCATGTGACCTGTGGACCCCACCTCCTCCCAGCCACCTGCGTGGACCTGAGGCTCACGACCTGCGCGGACGGCACCTACAACCGGACGAGCTTCCCCACAGCGCTGGAGCACCGGTCGCGCGAGGCTGTGGAGGCCAGCGCTGAGTACATCCTGCTGAGCGTGCTGCACCACCTCCTCGAGGGCCAGTGCAACCCCGACTTGCGGCTGCTGGGCTGTGCAGTGCTGGCCCCCCGCTGCGAGGGCAGCCGGTTGTGGAGACCCTGCCGGCGTGTGTGCCAGGGCCTGCAGGAGGCCTGCCAGCCGGCCTTCGATGCCATTGACATGGCCTGGCCTTACTTCCTGGACTGTGCCCGCTACTTCGCGCCCGAGGAGGAGGGCTGCTTCGACCCCCTGGAGCAGCTTCGGGGTGAGGCGAGGCCCGGGGTGCACGTTAGCTCCTGGAAGCCAGGCTGGGTCAGGCAGGTGTGGGGACGTGAGGGGCCCACAAAGCCACAGGCTTGGCTCCGGAGGGACCAGCCGGTGGAGGGGCAGAGAGCTGCTCACCTGCCATGGGTGCGGGCCCTGCCTGGGGCTTGGCTGTGCCGTCATCGCGAGTCTGTGGTGGGGAGAGGGAGCCGCAGGGCCATCCCTGCCCCGCAAATCCTCGGCTCCTGGAGGCTGGCTGGTGAGGCCAGGCCGGGTCCGTTCCTTTGGTTTCACACTAATGAGGGCCCGTCACATCATCTTCCCGGATGAGAAGTGGCTCTGGGGGGAGAGATGGTGCCAGGCACCCCCTGGGTGACCCAGGCTGGCCGTCGGTGGACGGGCCAGTTACCTATTCCTTGTCAGCCTTACCAAGCACCTGCTGTGTCCACAACTCCGCAATGGGAGGCGGGAGGTGGCGGGGAGGGGACACAGACCCCCCAGGCAGGGTCTCTGGGCTGGCGTGGGGGCTCATCCTGGCACGCGGAGCCTCGTGCTCCTGGGCAGAGGCAGCGTGGCATTGCGTGGGCTGGGGACAGCTGTGGTGACGGACAGTGAGTGAGGAGGCGGCCAGAGGAGCCCAGGAAGGAGCCCGACGTCTCCCAGGCAGGCTGACTCTGCTGCCCGGGAAAGCCCGAGCAGCTGGCTGGAGAGGGATTATTTTGGGTCACTCCGCTTCCCCCTGCTTCCTCCTCAATGACCACGTTGAGCAGAAGCAAAACCACAGCTCTGTGAGTGGCTGAGGGAAACCGGTAGCTCTGTGGGCACTGGCGGCTGCGGCGGAGTCTTGAGGGTGGAAGGTGGTCCCCAGGGAAGGCTGCTGGGGCCCAGCTTGGGCCCGCCCGCCCTGTTCCCTACCCCTGACGGTGGCAGGGAGCCTCTGGGAGCAATGCCAGCTCTGTGGTGGCTGGAAGGAGCCCCGGCTGGGGCAGCCTGTGCCAGTGGGCACTTGGGCCTCAAAGCCACACAGGTGCCTTGGTCACCACGGGGGTGGCAGGAAATGGCCCAGCAAGAGGCAGGGCAGCAGGCTGCGGGGCGGACACTTGACAGACGCGTCTCTGTACAGTGCGCTCTCCGGGTGTCCTCCCTCCCCTCCGTCCTGCAACGCTGGAGGCTGTGCTAGTGTCACTGTGTGTGCAGTTGCTGGCTGTCGCCAAGATTAGGAGTTTCGTAAAGGGAGTCATAATGAAGGATGCTGCAGGCCGGCAAGCCACACAGGGGGACGCATGGGTCCCCTCCCTGGACGCTGCAGGGTAGTGGTGCCTGGTGCCGGGCATCTGTCCCTGGGCAGCGGAGGCTGTGGGCGGAACTGGGAGCCGTTGGTGACAGGACAGCGCCCAGCCCGATGTCCCCCATCCCCAGGTGACCTGGAGCCTGAGGAGGCCCTGCCCTCGGGCCTGCCGCCCACCTTCATCCGCTTTGCCCACCACTCCTACGCCCAGATGGTGCGGGTGCTGAAGCGGACGGAGGCCCGCTGTGCCCAGGTGGCCAAAACCTACAGCATCGGGCGCAGCTTCAATGGCAAGGACCTGCTGGTCATTGAGTTCTCAGGCCGGCCCGGCCAGCATGAGCTCAGTAGGTACTGCGTGGAGGCCGGCGTCAGAGAGGCCGAGGCCACGGCTGGGGGAGGGCGGCTTCGGGGCTCTGCTTGGTGCATGGCCACACCCCACAGGGACTGCTGAATGGACGAGGGGCCCCCGAATGCCAGCTTCACCCTGGAATCTGGGGGAGGGAGCAGAGCTCTCACATCACAGTAGAGACACTGGTTACGGAGAATGCAGAAGGGAAGGTGTAGGGCCAATGAGAGGTTTAAAACAGATGGCACGAGTTCGATACCCGGTACCGGAAAAAAAAAAAAACAAAACAGATGGCAGGCGGGGTGTGGTGGTGCACACCTACAATCCCAGCCACTTGGGAGGCTGAGGCAGGAGGATCAGTTCCAAGGCCAGCCTGGGCAATTTAGCAAGTCTGTTTTGGTCTTGCCCTCGAGAACCAGGCCAGGCAGGTCAGTGGGAACTGGCCCTGGTCACTTTCCCACTCTCTGCCAAACCATTCTGGGGCTGCGCTGCCTGCTGGGGGTGTAGACACAGTGGCTTTTCCACCTGGAAAACGAGTAACTCTGGTGTACTCTTGCCTGGAGCCAGCCCATTCCATTCGGAGCCAGCAGGGGGCAGTATAGGAAGTGCCAGCCCGGGGTTCCTGTCTTCTAGCAGGACAGTTGGAAAACCAAATTTCCTGGTCCAAAGTCCTGCTGCTGTGGGGTGAGGGGCTGCTTGGGCTGGCTGCTTCCGAGACTCCAGGACGTTCTAGTGGAGACCCGGTTCCCTTCCCGGGGAGCCGAGAGCACAGGGCATTCACCTTTCCATCCACCCATCCGTCCGCCCACCCAGGGCCGGCTCCCTTCCCAGCTGAGTGCTGTGCGCTTGCATTGCTCGGACGTGGACCGTGGCTTCCACGGGACTCTCAGTCTGACACGGCAAATGACCAGTGGTGCCCTTACTCGCCATGCCAGCGGCCACGCTGGACCTAAGAAGTGAGCTCAATGTGCGGAGACCCCGAGCCGCCCTGCCCTTAGAGGGTGCTCAAGGCTGGGCCCGGGCCCCAGGTGACCCCAGCCCTGTCTCCGCAGTGGAGCCCGAGGTGAAGCTGGTCGGCAACATCCACGGCAACGAGGTGGCGGGGCGCGAGATGCTGCTCTACCTGGCGCAGTACCTGTGCTCTGAGTACCTGCTGGGCAACCCCCGCATCCAGCACCTGCTCAACACCACGCGCATCCACCTGCTGCCCTCCATGAACCCCGACGGGTACGAGGTGGCGGCGGCCGAGGTGATTCTCTGGCTGCTCCAGAGGGCGGGTTTGCGTCCAGGGTTCCAGGTGACGAGGACTCAGCAGGTATCTCCCCGGTGAGGTCCTGCTGGGGGCAGGGGAGGCAGTGATAATTCCACGGTGCGTTAAAAACCTTGGGAGCGGCCTAGATGTCCATCAGCGGATGAAGAAAATGTGTTCCCCCACCATGGAGTACTACTCTGCCCTAAAGAGGGACAAACGGGAGGCATCTGTAGGAAAATGGATGCACCTTGAGGCCATAATGCTGAGTGAAATAAATCAGAGACACAAGTTTAGACATCACAGGGTTTCTCTTCTATGAGAAACCCAATTTAGAAAGAGCAAGCTGAAAGGCAGACAATAGGAAACAGGAAGGCAGATATTTGCAAATGGGATGGGCCAAGAGATGGAGGGGAGATGGAGAAGGGAGACGTGTCACGCCCATGTTCCAAAGGCCTCCAAGGTGTCATCTTTGTGTATCGCAAAGATGTACTAAGAAAAATTTTAAAAGATGACCAATGCCTGGCAAGATGGCAGGAGCCCATGGTCCCAGCGCTTCGAGAGGCTGAGGCAGAACGGAGAGCTTGAGCCCAGGCTGGGCAACTTAGTGACTGAGGAGGACCTTGTCTCAAAACAAAGAGTTTACACAGATCTAGGGATACAGTTCAGTGCAAAGGCCCTGGCCTCACTCCCCAGCACCAAGAAACAGAAGGTGGCGCAGGCACTAGCAACTCACAGTGGAGGGGGTGGGCACGCGCCTGTGCCGCGGGGTGGGGTGCTGTCGGGGTGGTGCGTGTGTGGGGCGAGGGTGCCATCTGGAAGGAGTCGGGGGCCACCTGAGCTGAGCCGGGCCTGACCACATTTCCAGGGAGCTGGCTACAACGGGTGGACCAGTGGGAGGCAGAATGCACAGAACCTGGACCTGAACCGGAACTTCCCGGACCTGACATCGGAGTACTACCGCCTGGCCGGGTCCCGGGGCGCACGCACAGACCACATCCCGGTGCCCAAGCACTACTGGTGGGGTAAGGTAGGAGCTGCATGGCCTCCCTGGGCACAGCACCCGCCGCAGGGCATGGATGTGCCCGGCTGATGGTGGTCGGACCGAGGGAGCGCTTGCCCTGGGCAGGGCCAGCTGACAGGTTCCGCGTCCTGTAGGGCTGAGCTTGCCCTGGGCACCTTTGCCAGCGGGGCCCATGGCTGCATGCCAGGTGCCCGAGGCACTGTGCAAGTCTGGGCACTGTGCCCTGATGGGCTGGCAGTGTCCCCTGCCCAGTTCAGGGGCAAGGCCACCAGGAGCTGTGAAAGCCCTGTGTGGATGTGGTCCTCCCTGGCCTGGGGAAAGCACCCAGGGGACATCTCATGACACAGGGGAGGGCTCAGGCACCCATGGCATGGGGCCGGGTGGCGTGTGCCATGCTGAAGGCCTCACCTCTCCCCTGGCAGGTGGCCCCTGAGACCAAGGCTGTCATGAAATGGACGCGGGCAGTCCCCTTTGTGCTGTCCGCCAGCCTCCACGGGGGTGACCTGGTGGTGTCCTACCCCTTCGACCTCTCCAAGCACCCCCTGGAGGAGAAGATGTTCTCCCCCACTCCTGATGAAAAGGTGAATCCCCGGGCTCCCGGGGTGCTGTCCGGTGGGGTGCTGTGCAGCACATGAGCGGGCTGGGCTCTCTGGCGTCCATCTAGTGGTGCCTTAGAGGGCCAGACCTCCACTCTGCGGTCCTAGACTGCAGGTGACAGGGCCAGGACACAGGACCCGGCCAGCCACAGGGCTCCCCGAGGTCCCCGGCCTGCACAGAACCCCGTGCTGGGTCTGGCGCTGGTGCGGGGCTCTGGAGAGGGGTCCACTCTCACGGTGTGGGTGACTCAAGGCTGAGGCCAGGGCGACCGCTGAGGCCAGGGCGACCGGAGAGGGCCCGCGGCCAGGTGTCCAGCCCCTAAATGTCACCTAAGTCCTGAACCGTTCCAGCGGCCCC